ATATGGTCGAGGAACCCCTTTAATAAGAGATGTTATGTTCTGCCAGAGATACTGAAGTTTCTGAGGTCTGCTCCACCACATGTATACACAAGTATTCAAGGAGGAGAAAGACCCACATAGATCAGCACATGTCATCATTTGCAAACATAATGCCAGTGTCTATATACTCACTACATGAGTGGCAGAGGGTTCCCAATGAGTGTACACGAGGCAGAACAGACACTTGCACGATCTTCAAATATTATGCTGTACACATGTTTTCTGTGGGTTTTTATGAGAACAGTGTGCATCCTTTTGGAGAAAAGGTCACATATCACAGAGCTCTGATGGCACCAGACACCTCTTAGGTTGGGCGGGAGAGGGAGGGATGTTCTTTACAACTGCAGCCATCTGAAATGAAGGGTCTGACAGCATCAACTATTATGCAGCCATGAGGTTAGACTGGGAAGAGGGAACGCCATTTCTTTCCTTCCTAATAAAGGTAAAGGTAAAGGTACCCCTGCCCATACGGGCCAGTCTTGACAGACTCTAGGGTTGTGCGCCCATCTCACTCAAGAGGCCGGGGGCCAGCGCTGTCCGGAGACACTTCCGGGTCACGTGGCCAGCATGACAAGCTGCATCTGGCGAGCCAGCGCAGCACACGGAACGCCATTTACCTTCCCGCTAGTAAGCGGTCCCTATTTATCTACTTACACCCAGGGGTGCTTTCGAACTGCTAGGTTGGCAGGCGCTGGGACCGAGCAACGGGAGAGCACCCCGCCGCGGGGATTCAAACCGCCGACCTTTCGATCGGCAAGTCCTAGGCGCTGAGGCTTTAACCCACAGCACCACCCACGTCCCCGTTTTCCTTCCTAATACTGTTCTCTAATTAGTGATGGCAACCACCCCACTCAGCCTGATTCAGCATTAAGTAAGGGATTATAAGTGACATTAGAGAAAACTTTATTTTTAAAAAGCCCTCTACTTCCAATGTTTAGGGTATGCATGGTGTTGCTTCTGTATCCAAAATGGCACTACCCATGCACAATAGAGAGAAAGAGATTATCAGCAGGCTGGGGTGGGAGAAGCACAACATTTTGCAGGACAAAACACACATGGGGGGGGGGGAGACCTCCAAAGAACATGTTCAGTGGCATGGAAGTCCAACTGATGAAAAACTGGGTGTGGGTACAGTTATTCAAGACTAAATTGGATATAGGCCAGTACATTTAAATCCCCTCATACCCCATCCACCCACTTAACTTAATAGTACTTAAAATGCATACCTATGGTTGGATTGTGCCCAATCATCTGGGGAAATTAATATTAAAAACAATCCTACCATGAATCATCGATCAGATTACTCAGTGCACCAGTAAGTAACTTGTGTTAACAAGACAGCCCTCCAACAATGCAGAATCTTGCACGTGCTTCAGTGTGTAGACTGGTCTATTCACTTCAAAGAAGAGGATTCACTAATCTGGGAATTTCCAGGTTCAAAATGGCAGGCACATTCCAACTTCAAATGGTTAGGCACATGCAGTGCCCTCTGACATGACTTTCCCTCAAAGTGAGTAGGGTATTTCCCCACATTTCCCCTGATAGGCTTAAGCTCTCGTCTCCTGCTTTCCAAATCCATGCCTTATGGAGTGAACCACTGGAGGCTGCTGCTGTTGTGTGTGTGTCTGCCCCTGTTGTATGTCCTGTGCCTTCCTTCAGCTGCCCTACAAAATAAACTTTCTAAACGAGTCTTGAACACTTGTCCCAGGAGGTGTGTGTGTAATATTTGTAGGTATCCTACCTAAAGAGCTAGGTGAGCGCTGTGGTGTGTCTTCTTGCTTCCCTTGTGCTTATAAAACTGTGGTTGTGAGCAGTATAAATGAATTTGTATCTTTGCTTTGGGGCTGGCGGGAGCAGAGACTGAGTTCATGGGGATGCTGTGGTATTGTATTATTTCCAAGGTTGTGGGGGTGGGGGTGATGCAGGGGTGTGTTGGGTGAGGTCCCATCATCATGGGTTCACTGGCTCCCTCTATGTGTAGAACATGAATTGTCAGGTATTGGCAGAATTCCCATGACTGCCGATAACATGTCTGCCAATTTTTCTTTTTTCTGCTTATACATATTTCTTGTCCCCGCCTGAGCACATCTTGGATATGGTAGCAATTCTGCCAATGTAGCAGCGGCATATAGTGTATCTGGTCCCAAAGCAATATGAGTAAAGAATTGCTCTGCCCATGTTTTCACACCTTAACATTCAATAAACATTTGCATGCATTGTAAAAAATGCACAACTTTACAATATCACAAAAGATTATGTGAAATGAATTAGATGTCAATCAGTGGAACTATTGCCTCTTGTTTATGTACAGCTTATTCCTTATTCAGTAAGTGCTGGTGTACTGTAAATTCATTGTATTTTGGTAATGGTGGAGCAGGATTATATAAGTAGCAACTAAAGACATTGCTCACATATCATTAGCACAACTTGATGCTCAAATAGCCAAAAATTTACAAAAGATTGTTGTCTATCTGATGTTACATATACTACGTAGGTACAGTGTAAGCAGTATTATTCCTTGAAACTAGTTGGCACTGTTTATACATGCTTCATCCTTTGATGACCACATGCCAGATGATGGCTTTGTTGTATGGAAACAGCCTTCCCAGATCAAACACAAGCAGAGGTTTCATGTCACCTCAAATGCAATACTTTCCAGTAAAAGCAGTTCACACTGCAAGTTGTCGAGTTGAACAGTAAAGTGATGGGAGATCATGTGGCATGCATGCTTGTGTGAAATAGCCTTTCATTTCCTCATTTTGACAATTACGGATCACCTAACTAGGTCTTTACATCTAAATACCGGATGTTTGGCATTCTATAGTTGTTTGATACTTAATCAATGGACTAAATTTGTATTTCAAGCATATTTTTGTGTAGTATTTCTTGGTCTATACTTAAATAAGTGGGAGGAGCGAGAGATGTAGGGATCACCTGATCCAAAAGATTTGGTCTTTACAGTCTTTGTTGCCAAATGATGTTGTGTAGCTGCTGCAGATATTAAAACTAACATATACATTCTACTCACAATATACTCATTTGCTTCAGTTTAGGGAACTGCCAACACAACCAAAGTCTCTCAGAGCCTGTCCTTCTACTTAACTAGTGCTAGCAGAGCAATACTTCTGCTGATTTGTTCAGCAACTTGGGGGAAGGGAAGGGGTAACTACTAGATCAGGCTTCCTCAACCTCGGCCCCCCAGATGTTTTGAGACTACAATTCCCATCATCCCTGACCACTGGTCCTGCTAGCTAGGGATCATGGGAGTTGTAGGCAAAAAACATCTGGAGGGCCGAGGTTGAGGAAGCCTGTACTATATTCATACTCTCTCCCCCCACACCCAATCCATGCCTCAACAAGTGAATGGCATCGCATGAATTTCATAATTTTCGTGGCAAAACTGTGTCACCATCCCTTAAAAAAACTGCAGGAGTCTGAATGCTGCAGCTATTGAATCCAGGGTCCTCCCTGCCCCCCCCCATAATCCATACAAGTCATAGGTTGTAGAGCTGCATATTGCCCTCTCATGTCATGTGTCTCTGCTTAATTTCATGCAGATGGCAAGGAAGTGAAAAACAGCACGAAAGAGTTGGAAGAGAGAAAATAAGCAATCCTGCCAAACTTTGGCCCCTTTTACTTTTGCCTCAGTCACACTCACTACCAGTAAGCAGCCTGACAAATTACCCAATGAAATTCAGCCCTCACCCAAGAGAAAAAAGTGTGTCTATTCTTGCTGTCAGAGGAACTATTTCCCATGCACATATTGCTTTCACTGGATTGGAGCAATTACTATCAGTTCCCAGATTTTGTTAACCTTGAATGTTTATGTTTTCCTCATTTTAATGTTACTGGATCAAAGTGTTCATGCAGTTTTGGGTTTTTGAGTCTCTACTGTTGCAGGATGCAAATGCCAGATGATTTGGTCTAAACTATAGGTTGTTTCTTTCTTTAAAAAGATTGCATCTGGGTTAAAATACTTTAAAGAATTTATGACCTAGAAAAAAATATGGAATCTGTTTTCTAGAACTTATTAGAGATGTTTTAGATAGCTGCAGTTTTTAAATTCAAACAGAAGTGATAATAAATAATCATTTGACTCTAGTTAAGTAGGAACTCTCCCAAGCATACTTTGAATCTAGACGTATACTGCAATACACTATGGTTTCAAAGTATTGGTTTATTTATTCATTTTGATTCAGCTGTGCAAGTCCTTCCAAGCTAAGATGTAATTCTCACCTGCTGCTTCTGGAAAAAAATGACTTATTATAAGTGAATGGGTTATATCACAATGTGGCCTAATGCACACAGCCAGCAAGCTGTGCATAAGTCCCCCTGAAGAATTGGTCAGACAAAGGCAGACAAAAAGAGGCACCTAGGGCCTGTGGATTGTCACAGAAATCAATTTATTATGAGCTTGCGCAGGTGTGTCAGGAAGGAAACATGGACCAAATCTAAACTAAGCCACAAAGGAGGTCAAATGGGAAAATATAGAAATTTTCTCCGATGCTACCCCTCCCCCCCCAATGAATGGAAATTAATTGGAACTCTTGAAGATTTCAATGACACTCATATAGAATAATTTCCCTGTGAGCTGCAACCATCATTTGAGAATCAGAATAACTCTTTGATCTTGCTTCCTCTCTTGAAACAATTTTATTTGATAGCCTCATATCTTACCTAAGAATAGTGATGAGGCCTTTTAAAGACTTAGAGGAATTAATATTATACACATGCTTGATTAGCTTTATCTCTACAGAAAATAAAATTACTACTGAATAGAAACAAAATAAACAAAACAGTATATTTGAGAAACTTGTTTTATGATGTGGTTCCTCTGCATAAGTAAACTAATTTCATATGGGTGGATAAACCCAATTCATATTTTCAAGTAAATAAAGGTGAGGCATCATGAAAGGTTTTTCAGGCTCTTAGAGGCTATTAAATCAGCTCAACACACAAAATAAAAATATGTAATGAATTGTTTTATTTGTGTACAAAATGTCATAATTTGTCAATACTGTGCAGCAAAATATATTATCACTCACATCCCAAAATAATCAGACAATATTTTACTACTTCTCTCTCTTTCTTTTTGCCCTTTAAAAATGGCAATACTGTTTTGGCAGTTCAGCAGCTAAAAATAAAGTGCTATAATTACGTAGTCTTGGAATGCCTCCACTTTACAAATGTGATGCACAATCTTGCATACAACCACACTGTTGTCCCCCCACCCACAACCAAAAGCTTTAGACTTTTCACATTCTCAAGAATACACACACATAAAGTGCTACTGTTTAAACATCTCCCCCAAAAAAACAATTTCACAACATGTATCTGGTTCATACCAGGCACTGTAATTCACAAAAGTCAAAGATTGTCACTTTGTGCAAAACGACACAGAAGGAGAAGTCACTTAGACATCACTGGGGGATCTTGAACGAAAGGACACTTTTGATTGAAAGCAGCCACAAAACAGAACCCACATAGACCTCTGAATTTCTTGGTTTCTGTAGGCATAAATGATAGGATTGATCATGGAATTGTAGGTAGCAGGTAGAAGTGTGGCATAAGTGTACACAGCAGGATAGCGGGAATCTCCAACTATGCAGTAGATAGCAAAAGGTAACCAACTGGCTCCAAAAGTCCCAAGGATTATAGCAAGTGTTGAGACTCCCTTTTTGGTTGCAACATAGTGAGATGCAGTCAGAAAATGTTGCTGGAGTGCTATCTGGTGTGCATGCCTGCAAACTATTTTGCAGATTTTAATGTACAGGTGCAGCATGAGAATAAAGATGACAAAGAAGGAGGCAGACAGCAAGGTCACATTACTTTTGGTCAAGGGTCTCACAATACTGCACGATGAATAATCTTCTAGGCAATTCCAGCCCAAGACAGGTAGAAGTCCTAAGCAGAGGGAAACCCCCCATGTGATGATCAGCATCATATGAATACAGAGAGCAGTCTTCTCAGAGTAGTAAGTCAGTGCGTTGTACAGGGAAAGGTAGCGATCAACTGTGATGGCTAATAAGCTACTCACAGAGGCAGTAAAAGAGGCAACTAGGAAGCCAACTGTAATAAGGCTGATGGTTTCTGACTGGATCACATACTGGAAAACAAAATTGAGGATCAGGCCAACTCCAGCCAGTAGGTCTGCTGTGGCCAAGCTCCCAATCAGCACAAACATTGGGGTTCTTAGGTTGGGAGTGTAGAATATAATGGCCACAACGATCGCATTTTCACAGGCAATGATGGTCCCAGAAATGCAGAGCATAATATCCCAAGGGTTGATGGTAAAGATGGGGAGCTTGGAGGAGAGCTCCAGAGAAGAATTCTGGTTGCTGGCTTGGATCCAGGGCACAGGGCTCCTGGTTTCATTCAAGGCAATGCTTTCATTCATCTCTGCCGCAGCTAGGTATGCCACCTGGAAGGAGAAGAATGAGGAAGAAAGGAAGGAAGAAAAGGGGTGTTAAAATAATGCCTTTGCTAAAACAAAAAACAAGAGAGAAGGAAACACAGAATAATAGCTAAGTTAAAAGGACAAAATAATAGAAGGCAGAAATCTAACACGAAGGTGAAGGAAACATGTCTAGTCTAAGGCACAAGGAAGTGGGGATCAGCATCCATAGGCGGGAAAGAAGCAACACAAACCCATAGAGCCTGGTCAATAGCTGGTGCGCTCAGAGAGCCGCGTTTGCAAAAGCCGACGGGCGCTCTCCGTGGTGCTGAAACTAAAGTTTTCCCTCCCTCTTTGGGAGCGGATCCCAAGGCAGGAGAGCCTCGTTCGCGCAAGCAGGCGACTGGCTCAACCGCATCTCGCCATCGCAGCCTATTAAGATCCCGCTGGTTTGGCTTTAGCTACGCGCTGCGCTCTCTCTTTGTCCTGCGATTCTCCCGCCACACACACACACACACACACACACACACACCGCAGCACCCGCTCTTACTCTGCTTCAAGGCTGAGAGATGCTTCTCATGGATGCTGCTTCTGCCGCTGCTCGCCGCCGTCTGCCCCGTCGCGTGGCTGGAGCCGCGTCCCTTCTTTGCCTTTGGCGGGCAGGAGCCGAGGAGGCGGGAGCAGGCGGCTGCCACCCTGCGCGTTTCCGTCCCGAGTGTGAGCCAGAAAGAGCGGGAGCGCTCTCAGGCGGCTCCGAGTCTGACGTAGAAATGACAGAGGCGAGGGCAGGGCCATCAGCCGCCCAAGCGCGCACATGGAGCGCTGGCCCCGGACGAGCCCCCGCCCGCCGAGGGAGGGGGGAAAGCGCGCGCAATTAAACTCGAGGGATGAAAGAGCAGCGCGGCTGCGGGGAGGAGGAAGGCACCGCCGAGCAGAGACGCTGAGCGTCTGGGGAGGGCGGAGAAGCGTCCCCGAAAGCAGCGGGGCGGGGGGCGCAGGCGAGCAGATACTCCAGTCGGGAGCGGGAAGGAAGGAAGGGGAAGAGCAGCGCCGAAGGGCACGTGGACTGGGCAGGAGAGGGGAAGAGGAAGGCGGGAAACGTTGGTGTGGGGGGAGGGCAGGGGGCCAGCAGGGCTGAGGGGGAAGAGGGGAGAAAAGGGGCTCGTGGGTGGCGAAGATAGGGCGCGCTCAGCTGCAAGCGCCCTCCCGCCCTGCTGCCTCAACCCCGAAAGAGGCCGCCCGCTCTGGTTCCTGACCAGGCTACGCGGTCGCTGAGATTCCCCCGCAAGGCGAGGCGCTTCCCACGCCAGTGCGGTCGTGGGGGAGCTGCCGCTCACCTTGGCCCCCTGGAGTGTGAGACACGTGTTTGCAAACACGTGCTGTTGCATCCACACTTTTACATGGAAGGGGTTGCACTCCCTCTGAAGGAACAAGTTAGTAAGTCTAGGAGTGCGACTGGATTTCCTCTGTCGCAGCTGTCCCAAGAAGACTCCTCAGGTAGGGGTGCTTCCGGCTGGTCACTGGTTGCCCTTGGGGTTGTTTTTTTTTTGGACCCTGATAACCTGTCCTCAATGCTCTAGTGACTTTCCATTTGGACGACTGCAATGTGCTTAACATGGGGCTACCCTTAGAAGTCAGTATGGAAGCTAACACAAAAATATATCATGGAATTGTGTGAAATACTCAGTCTGAGCCTCAGTTTCCCCATCAGCAAAGTGGAAACAATAGTGACTTTTCTCAGACTGCTATGGGAGGGATGGCAAAAGAGTTCACCAAGTACTTTGCAAAGTGAATGCACTACATTAAATTTTAAGGAGAAATAGTAGTAGTAGCAGTTAGCAGTTCTTATAGGACTCAGTGGGATATACTAAGCAAGTGCTACCATGCATGCAGCCCAATGCTGTGCACAGGGAAAGGCGTTACCAATTTCTGTGGACCTACCCTCAAATAACTGCATAAAGTCTCAGTCTGAATAACTTAGGCTGTGTACACAATATGACATCTGAAGCATGTTGTTTCCCTCAAGGAATTCTGATCACTGTTGTTTTAAACGGTTGTTGGGAATTGTAACTCTGTGAGGAGTAAACTACAGTGCCAGTGGCACAGCTAGCTACTTGGGATGCAAGCCCCATGCTGCCATTTTGGGCAGTGCGGAGCCTGCAGACGCCTGAGCCACTGTGTCACTCTCAGGAGAGAAGCGAGGCTCGGGCACGGTAAGTGCGCCCTGACCCCGCGGTGTGGCACCCAGCGCTCCCCCCCCCAGCTATGCCTCTGTGCAGTGCCCAGAATTTTTTGAGGAAAAGAATGTGCTTCAGTTGTGCTTTAAAGGTTTAGTGTGTATGCAGCCTTAGCGACTAAAGATCAGAATGCTCTAATGCAACCTTCTTAAAAACTGCATTGAGAACAAAGAAGACTGAGGAGAAGATAAGGTATTAGAAAACAGGTTGAGAAAGTTGCCTTAAAAACTGGAAGGAGAAGATGTAGCACAGTAAAGGTTCTTTTCCCACCACCACTGCTCATCTATTTCACTGAACAAAAACAAAACTATAGTCTATGTCAAGACAAAGAGGAAAATTAGCATCTGCTAATGATATACACTAAAGGAAGTTTCCTTATACTGTACTAGATCAGATCACTGGTCAATCTAGCTCGCTCTTGTCTGCACTGACTGACAGCAACTCTCCACTGTTTCAGGCAGGGTTCTCTCGAAGTCCTAGCTGGAGATGTTGAAAATTAAACCTGCACCTTTCTGCATGCAAAGCATTTGCTACAGCACTACGCCATGATCCTTCCCATACTATCGGAATAAATATTTGAAGCTTTGGACCATGTGGGGAAAATCCATACTGCAGCTCAACCCCAGGCTGGCATTGCCTTTTAGGAAACTGGACTAATGCTAATTGAAGGAGGAGCCTATGTATGGCCCTAGAGCTTCTCATATTGCCTTGTTGAGGCAGAAAGAAATGGCACTTCAGTGACTGCCAGGCCATCAGTACAAAGTGAGAACCCAGCCTAAGGAGAGAAAAAAGACACCTGCAAAGTGGTAAGGAAAGCCACTTTCCCTATTCCTTCTTTAGGGTTTTTTTAATACATGTAGGTGGAACATTTTGCTGCTGTCAGTCTGAGTTTGATTCATAAGTATCTCAGTGTTCCCTGAATTTAATTTAATTTTTTTACCACAGCCTGAGTCCTGTAAACACCAGTTTAGAAGATATACTAGCAGTTCGGCAACAGAACACATGATACTTCTCTAGATGAATACATGTTAATCACAATGTAGGAAGTAGTTTGGGACGCGGGTGGCACTGTGGCCTAGGACTTGCCGATCAGAAGGTCGGTGGTTCGAATCCCCGCAACGGGGTGAGCCCCCGTTGCTTGGTCCCTGCTCCTGCCAACCTAGCAGTTCAAAAGCACATCAAGTGCAAACCTTGCAAGTTGCTGCAAAAGAAGGCTGGTGAACAACATCACGAGTGTTTCGAGAAACAAATTGAAACTCAATTTTGTTACTTTTACTATTGCCAGGCGCTGTGGGTTAAACCACAGAGCCTAGGACTTGCTGATCAGAAGGTTGGCGGTTCCAATCCCCGCGAGGGGGTGAGCTCCAGTTGTTCGGTCCCTGCTCCTGCCAACCTAGCAGTTCGAAAGCACATCAAGTGCAAGTAGATAAATAGGTACCTCCGGCAGGAAGGTAAATGGCATTTCCGTGCGCTGCTCTGCTTCGCCAGAAGCGGCTTAGTAATGCTGGCCACAAGACCTGGAAGCTCCCTCGGCCAATAAAGCGAGATGAGCGCCGCAACCCCAGAGTCAGTCATGACTGGACCTAATGGACAGGGGTCCTTTACCTTTAGGAAGTAGTTATTCAAGCAAAATAATTTTTTTCATACTATTTTAATAATCTGTACACACTCATCAGACAACACAAGAATCAATTTTATGTTGAAGTGGGTGTTGATTGCTACAACAGATTTCTTAAATAGGCCATAATGGCCAGTCATGGCTAGTACTATTGGTAGTATTTCATTCACCCAGGGTGAGACTCACAGAAAAACAAATTTCCCTGTAGCCCGTGAAGTGGGATAGAATTGTAGGTTTTTGCAGAAGACTAAAAAGAAGGAGCCTATATGGGGCCTCTAATGCTCTTTTCTGTGAGGGAAACTTGCACTCTTTATAGTTTCACACAGGTATTGCTGTATGCTTGATTAATCCCACACACACACACTGTACATTTGTAAAAATATAGAACATCATAAGACACACACAAGTGCTTTCTCCTCACAAAGAAACTGACCCCGTAGAAGGCCTTTGGGATTCCCTATTACTGAGAAGAGTGAGGAACTATACAGTAAAACATCTATTAAATCTTTGGAAACCCTTGATACAAGAGTCATAGGCTGCAGTCCTATACACACTTACCTAGCAGTAAACCCCATGGAACTCAATGGGACTTAGTCCTGGTGTACAGAATTGTACTGTTAAGGAATGCTTTCATTACCCGTTTCATTGTAAAAGAAAAGGGGCAATAAATCCTTCAGGTTTGCAAATATATATTGATTGGGCTCAGTGTATTTCAAATTTCTTCAGATGCATGATCAGTTTGAGACAGTTTTTTGGGGGAAATATGCACAGAGGCTGAAGTCTCAAGTTCATCCTAAGCATGCTCCTGAAAAAAAATATTCAAAGCACACTGCACCGGGGTGGGGGGGGCTTCCTCTCTTCCTGTCTTCAAGTTTGGTGTCCTCCTGATATTCTTTATTTGAAAACACCGTTTCTTCAACATCATTCACTATGCTGTACTCAGATAGTATGATGTTAAAAACTAACTGGAATAATGCAGCTGCTGCTACTACATGTGATCAAGATTAAAAACCACACGTAGCTACGAAATCAATGCCTTAAAGACACATTCCAGCTTTGATTATCTCCCGTTTGGAAGAGGATAATTAGATAACAGCAATTAAAGTGAAAATCTTTGCACTTCTTGATAATGCCCCATGAGAAACATATGAAACAACCTTCATTCTTCAAAGGCAGAAGAGATCCCAACTCCAGCTGTCATTAGTAATATTACATTATTAACATCTTCACAGCATTTGGTATGAATCTAATGGTTGTGACTGAAATAACTGATGGATGTTATACGTTATATGGCATAAAGAATCAGTCCACAATCAACTGACATTTTTATCTTTTATCCCACTTTATATCTCATTCAGCTAACTATTCCTGCTAGTGGTAGCTGGCACAAGGACTTCCACTAAGACATCAAGGCTTTCCACACCTCTCCTCTCCCCATGCACCCCCTGAAATTGGCTTGGAAGTGTGTATGCATGTTGAGGATCATTCTGTCCTGATGGAATGACTGCCACAGCACAACATTGAATTCCTACCTCCGTTTTGGAATGAATACCCAATACAAATTATTCATGCCTCTTATCAAGGTGTGTGTACAAGAGAACTCCAGAGGATATATTCCTGAAAAATAATTAGGGTCTCCTGCAAATACCATCTTATCAGGAGGTAAGAAATGCACAATGTAGGAATTGGGCCTGTAGTGCTGTGGCACCTACCATTCGGAATTCCCTGCTGTTGTATATTAGACTGCTGCTCTCTTTTGTCTTTTTGGCACCTACTATATACCTTTCTCCCCCCCCCCCCCGCAACAAGCCTTTTAAATATGTTTTTACCGTTTTATCACTTTTTTTGCTGCCCTGGACTCCTTTGGAAGGAAGGGTGGGATAGAAATTTAAGAGATAGTTAGGTAGATGATAGGTAGGTAGATGATGATAGATGATAGATAGATAGATAGATAGATAGATAGATAGATAGATAGATGATAGATAGATAGATATTTCATGCTGACGTTTCTGTTGCTGAGTGCAACATTTGAAATCCGGGCAAAATTATACGTTATGACATGAGGATGCCTCCAAAAATTGCACCCTTGTGCTGGATTATCCCTTTCCCCTATATTAACAAGTAGCAAGACATTTACCTGGGTTGTGATGTCAAATTTTGCATTTCTCCATTCTTTTCAGCTGCAGTCAGTGTTGTGCTGTGGGTGGTAGCACATTCAATACTGTGATGTCACATGAGTAAGTGTTGCTT